GGAAATTTTAAACATATTCTTAATGTTTTCATATTTTTTATACATGGATGCCTCAAAACTGATAGTTTTGGTGGAGAGATTAATAGGATTTTACACGTATGGAGACAAGTTTCATTGAAGAAATATAACATTTTTTATAATAAAAAATCTTTAAAAAAGAACAAATGCTTGAAATGTAATAAAAATGAGTGTGCCCCATGTGGATAAAGTAATAGAACAATTTGACATAGATTTGGAGTCAGTGGGTCACATGACCTGGAAGCTATTGAATAATGTTGACGGTCTCTAAATGCACCACTGCGTGTGGGAGGAGGGAGCAGCTCAGAGAGTTTACACAAATGAATAAAAGAAACACTATTTAATCAATCTAAGCTTGTAATTTTTTTAACGTTACTTTAAAAAAATATGCAAATTCATGAAGGAAAAAATATTTAGAATCCTCCCAGGTGTTGGATGTTTCTGGGTTTTCTTAAACTGTCATTAGTAAAGCAGTGCAAACTGCACTATTATGCATTGCATTTACCAAGCCATTTTTCCAAATCGCAACTACAGTAAAGTTTGTTTTAAATAAGGTAGGTGTTTTTTTTTATTTTTCTGAAAAGCCAAGGTATTTTATGCAGGAAATAGATACTTATCAAAGCGTGCCTATTTTATCAGTCAGAACATTAAACCAGGAATTTAAAGCAACTCAAATAGTGACAAACAAGACTGGTAGAGAACTCACACTATCTTGTTGTCGAGCACAGTAAAGAACACCGTATGGGATAAAGTAAGAACATATTTTTGTTTAATCTTAGAAAAGGGTCACAAAGTCTCTATAATAACCTTACATTTCATCTGCATCCGTACGTATACATGCATACCAGATGTCTAGAGATAGACAAGAGATAAACTGAAATAGAGGCCTTAGTTTATAACAAGAACCTGCTACAAGGAATATTTGGTTAAAAGATTAACCTCCACATGAACTGGTATAGAAAACTGTATATGTTGAAAGGTATATTATACTCACTGTTTAGTTTCTAGATAAGGGGCCCCTATCACAGGTTAATCAACAAAAAAACAAACTTATTTTAACACTTTTTTATGACAACCTTTAGCCACATTACCACCATAAACCTTTTAGCCCTTACTTGGTAGACATTTGAAATGTGTGTATTTCTTTATGCTATCTCTCTCTAGTCAAAGCACCATGTTGTGATTCAAGATATTGTAATGTAAGGCATGGTTGTCATGTTGCCTCTGTTTGATTAACTTAATATAAATTGTTAAGATATTTTTCTGTATTGTTTTATTTGTTAATCACATTGTCACTCTTCTTGTGTTGGGTATTGTTTTTT